CTACGTTTAGTGGAACGTCATCAAATTGCCGCGCGGTACGTGGGGGACCCCCCCCCCCCCAAAAAACCTACGTAATAGACGTCGGGCGGGGGGGGGTTAGGGGGGGGGTTATCCTCTATCCTCTAGTAAGTATCCGACACGCCGAGCAATGTCGGCGGATATTTGTATATATATAAAGAAGGCTTAATTACGGAAAATGATATTGAAGGATTTGAGGGGGTTTTTATTGCTAGAGTATTGGTAGGTCTAATAAGGGGTGTGGATAATTTATTTATTATCCTGAATACTGGATTGTTTTTATATTTTTCTTGTTGATTGGATATTTGGAGCATATGCATGATTCTATCCGCAAAACATTGATATTTGTGGTATTTTGTTATATTTGCATTTCCGGGCTAATTTATGAATTCTTTTTTTTGGGCTGTTCGCTTTGAGATTTGTGGCGCTTGCACGCACGCATGATATCCCGGCATTATTTGGGATTAGGTTGAATAATATTCGCAATCTATTTAATTATAATTTAGCATAGAATATATTAATTATAACAATATTATAATATAAAATAATATAATTTTAGAGAGATATAATCGGCTAGAAGCCATAGACAAAAGATCGCCGAACATCGATATATTATCTTAAGAAATATAAGTAAATTTTATATATGTTTATTCAAGGATTATTGTCCAATATCATCGAATCCAAATGATTACACTATTACACTATACATTCTATAAATTTCCAACAATCTTAAAATTCTATTAACCTATCTTACATAAATAACAAGATATATATATATATATTAAATAAGATTCGACATAAATAATAATACAATAATAAAAATATCGAAAAATAAAATAATAAAAGAAATAATAATAATTGTTTAATAATAATCATCAAAATAAAAATAATATTATATTTAATTTAAATGTAATATTATTATTAATAAATAATTTCAATAATTATATTTAATTAATATTAATTCATTAATTTCTTTCCTCTATTCTTCCCTATATTTTTCATCCCACCCCATTTTCTTTCCCAATTTTCTTCTC